AGACGAGTTGCAGAGACGAGTTGCAGAGACGAGTTGCAGAGACGAGTTGCAGGGACGAGTTGCAAAGACGAGTTGCAGAGACGAGGTGCAGAGACGAGTTGCAAAGACTAGTTGCAGGGACGAGTTGCAGAGACGAGTTGCAGAGACGAGTTGCAGAGACGAGGTGCAGAGATGGCCGTCAGACTTAAGCAACTCTAAACGATAATGCGAAGAAAGTGAACGAGAATGAAACAGAAACGTGCAGGCTAGCTAAGAAAACGAAAAGAGAGAAAAAATTTCCGAACCAAAGAAAAAACTAAATAAATTTGCGTATATCTGACGCATTGAGACGATCCGAAGCAAGCATCTGCTTAAATGTGTGTAGCTATGCGTAATCTAATCAGATATGTTCATTTATTCCCTGTACGAATATAGATAAATTTACATAGAAGACCGTTATTAAAATTCTATGCATTTTTGTGCCAAATCACAATTATTGTATGCATAATGACAGCATTGGTTGATTCTGCAGCAAATGTTACAATTACAATAATGATAAAGAATGTCAGACAACGCTCTATGTTATAATGTTTTCGAATGTGATTTAATTTCCGCGTAATCCTCGCACAATGTGATTGTAAGACTACGCAGTTTCAATCATTACATTTTCCGCATTCTTCGTCGAGTCAAGAATTGTAAATAAAAGAGCCATATTTCACTTAGTTTATGGCCCTCGCTTATTCAAAACTATGACTACATGGAGTTAGTATCAGCAGATTGAGATAACAACTGATAAGGAGGCCCCGCTAAAGGAGCATCAAAAACCTGCTATAAAGACACAGCAGTACGTAGCAGTGCCCACGCACAGGAACGTGTCTATATATTCAGAAATTACCATTAAAATAAAGCCTCTTTACTAAAAATTATAGCCTGAATTTGAGGGCATTATATCAATGTTCTTATGCAGAAAAATATATTTATGTGACACACGTGACTGCTAAATCGTGAGCACTCTAACTCTCGTAATTTTAGTGACTTGAAGCTGAACAGCGACTATTGAGCTCCGGCAAAACTACATTGGAGACGTAATATGCAGCTACTGCTTTAGTGAGTGCAGTTAATGTTAAGTGATGAGTATACTTGAGATGAAGAGATTAGTGCAGCTAATGTTTTAGTGAGTGTAGTTAATGTTAAGGGATGAGTATACTTGAGATGAAGGGATGAGTGCAGCTAATGTTTTAGTGAGTGTAGTTAATGTTAAGGGATGAGTATACTTGTGATGAAGGGATGAGTGCAGCTAATGTTTTAGTGAGTGTAGTTAATGTTAAGGGATGAGTATACTTGTGATGAAGGGATGTGTGCAGCTAATGTTTTAGTGAGTGTAGTTAATGTTAAGGGATGAGTATACTTGTGATGAAGGGATGAGTGCAGCTAATGTTTTAGTGAGTGTAGTTAATGTTAAGGGATGAGTATACTTGTGATGAAGGGATGAGTGCAGCTAATGTTTTAGTGAGTGCAGTTAATGTTAAGGGATGAGTATACTTGTGATGAAGGGATGAGTGCAGCTAATGTTTTAGTGAGTGCAGTTAATGTTAAGGGATGAGTATACTTGTGATGAAGGGATGAGTGCAGCTAATGTTTTAGTGAGTGCAGTTAATGTTAAGGGATGAGTATACTTGTGATGAAGGGATGAGTGCAGATAATGTTTTAGTGAGTGCAGTTAATGTTTTGGCACAACAGTGAATGTTTTAGGCACACAACACTGGAGTAAATATACAAATCTTGAATGATGAATGTTTTATCCGATGTTACTTACAAAATAACCAATTTTAAACTAATTTTGAGCCCTACAAACAAAATAGAAGGCGTTTCTCATACATTTCTAATTTATGAGAATTTGAATTTCCTCGTTTTCTAGCCAATCAAGGCTAGACATTGCTCGGACCACGTCCAAGGGCAATTTCGGCGATAGATAAACATTGTTTCTCTGCCGCGATAATGTAAGCCATTGATGAGCTTTAGACGTCTAATTTAACTGGTATACACAAAACAACCATTCTCGCCCATAACTAAATTTTTTTTACTTAGGTAATCAAGGAGCAACAAAAATAGCAGTTCTCGCGTCTAATTTACATGTAAACACAAAGCAAGCTTTATCGATCATAACTAATTAATTTATTTTTTAGCTTATCAAGAAGCATCAAAAATGGCGGTTCTCGCGTCTGATTTAGCTGTCCACAATCCAAGCTTATCGATCATAAGTAATTAATTTTTTTATTTAGGTTAACAAGGAGCACCAAAGATTGCGGTTCTCGCGTCTAATTTAGCTGTACACAAACCAAGTTTTATCGATTATTATTATTTGTGACTAATTAATTAATTTGCTCAGGTTAAGAAGAAGGACCAAAAATGGCGGTTGAAGAAGACCCGCCCCCGGCGAGGGGTGAAGAGGAGCTAGACATCCTGGACCACGGCGCCCTCGTCGCCGACATGAAGCGTAACGATCAAGTCTCTCTCGAAGAACGCGCCAAGAAGGCAAAGAGCAACAGAATCAAACAACTGCAGATATTCGAGGAGTTCGAGAAGAGGGGCGCCGCCCCTGCCACAGCCGGGGGTAGGCATGCCAAGATCAAGTTCCCGCCAGACGTGCCTCTCATGGACGCCGCGGCTAAAGGCGCCGTGGATGACATGAGAGAACTAATGAAGAAAGGTGAGCAGATTTCTTGTGTATTAAAATCATCTTTCTTCAAACTTATGAAATCACCAATGCACGAATAAAATAAGCTAAGATTTTCCCGATTAATAGCTTGCAAAAGTTCGTAGCTGAAAGCTGCGGTGTTATAACAGTCTAACTTAAAACAGCGGCAGCTAATGTGTGCACATTATGTATAAAAATTTTGACATATGAGTTGGTATTTCTGAACACTGAAATTCCTAAACAAACAATTTGCAGAACCTGTTTCAAACAATTTGTAGAATGTGTTTCAAACAATTACAGGCTAAAAACACTAAAAAGAATAAAAACTACAGGCATAGTTTTTCTCCAGGTTTGGACCCAAACGCAAACAACTACGAGGGGCTAACAGCGCTCCACAATTGTTGCATCGACGGCAACATTGAGATGGTGAAGCTCCTTCTCGACCACGGGGCGAAGGTGAACGTCTCCGACAAAGATGGCTGGACACCACTTCATGCTGCAGCTACTTGTGGATTCACAGATATAGTGAAAGCTTTGATAAAGGCTGGTGCAGAGCTACTCGCCATCAATGGTGATGGCGACATGCCTTTTGATATCGCTGAAGACGAGAACACTCTGAACGTCATAGAGGAAGCAATGCGCAGTCAAGGTATCACCAACGAACAAGTACAGGAAAAGAGAACCGAGCTCCATGTGACAATGTTCGAAGACGTCAAGGAATTGGTCAAAGAAAACATGAGCTTGGATGCATTCGTTAATGAAGAAGGAGCTACTCTACTTCACGTGGCCATTGCCCACGGATTCAATGACGTAGTGGAATTCCTGCTGGACAACGGGGCGAGTGTCGACATCGGAGACTGCGACGGCTGGGAACCTGTGCATGTAGCAGCTTTCTTCAATAATATTGTAGCGCTGACATTGTTGGTGACTAAAAGACAAGCCAATTTGAGAGCGTTAAACAACTCTGGGGTAGATCCCTTGAAACTTGCGGATTCACTGGACACCAGAAAAGCTGTGCAGAGCCTTCTCAAAACTGATCAACCACAATTAAAACGTGAACACAAAGAACTCGAGGTAATGGCGTCGCTGGACTCACTCGCATCTGATGACACCGTTGCGGAGAATGAGCCCTTGAGCTTCTTAGAAGGAACTTCAAGGGAAACTAACATCGATGAAGTTCTTCAAAATAAAATCGATAGCCCAATTGACAAAAACGAGATTCAAAGCAGTAAATCATCCTTGATTGGAGACGGTGACTTCATGCCTGTGCTAAAGAGGGTTGAGAGCATCAGCACCAAGCGTAGCTCCATCCGTGAGGCGAAAAAACAAGCACCAACCATAAAGAACGCCAACTTCATACGCAGGGACTCATACGAAGCCTACGACAACTCTTACGATCTCCTACTCGTCAAGAAGAAACCCGACATCCAGAAGGTCAAGTCCACCCAAGGCAGTGAAACAGAAGTTAATCCTAAACAGAGTTTAGAAGAAATCGAAGAGAGCGAAGACTGTGAAAAAATACAAGAGGGAATACGATCGGAGCTCAGCCAAGGGCCAACAAAGATCGATGTACTTCCAGCAGCCGCTAGCGGGACAGTTCATTCCGAGCCAATATTCGCCAATGAAGAACCAATAGCAAACTCAAACGAGCTCACCGGTTCGGTTCACCCTTCACCATTCGGCAACGATCCTCCTGAACATGTCTACGAGTTACAGGAAGAAGAAATGGCGGAGGCTGATAAACCTGGCAACACATACGTCAACACCGCAGAACCATTGAACAGTTCTACATTAAAGAATAATGAATATACCCTACCATCTGACAGTGAATCGTCGGACCTTGAACAGGCAGCCCTTGGAGCCTTGGAAACGAGTAAAACCTATCCATCGGCAGTTCTTAAAAAAGAGGAGCCTGCGTCTACCACACTGTATGACAATGGTTCACGAGGAACGTCAATATATGACACTGAGCCACGAATTTACTTGGCAAACAACGCCGAAAAGCCGGTCGCTCCATCAAGTGACAAGAAGGCAGGCTCTTCGCTTTACAAAAATGATACACCGCTTACCTCTCAGGACGAAAAATCCAGTTCATTGTACGAAAACGAAATTTCAAACACTTCATTGTATGATGATCCTTCCCTTACTAATGGAAGTTTTTCTTCATCTTCCGCCAACAACAACCCTTCAGCAACAACATATCAAAATGGTATCTTCACTGCAGATGATAATCTCTATGAAGTAGATTCTTCGTCAATTTCATCCCAAGAAAGTGATTCTCAAGAAAGAAGAAAGAAGGAAAATCCGTCCCAGGTCGGAGCACTGGGCGTAGCTCAGCCAGGTAAGAAAGAAGCAACAGCATCACATAAAAAAGACGCATCCTTACCCAGTTCCGAAAGCCCAAAGTCTACTGCAATCAAAAAAGATTCCGGACACACTCTTAGTGAAGTAGAAAAATCCAGGGAAGGAACTCCAAAAACAGAAAGCAAAGATGCAACGATTCCCAAATTTAGTAGCCAAGTAAATAAAGAAACGATAGATAAAAGTTCAACTATTATTTCTGGTGAGAAGACGCCGAGAAACGATTCTCGAGCCCCGCCTGTAACCACAGTAAGCCAAACTCCAGTACCGCTTCGTCGCAAGAAATACGAAGCTTTACCAGACAACCGAGGACATTCCCAAGAGAAGCCTGTTTCAGGATCCTTACAAGAATTAAAGCTCAGGAGGCAGCAGTCGAGGCAGACGCTAATCATGGAGGAATCAGAAGGACTGACGCCAGTTATTTCAAGGGGCGCGACAAACACTTACGCCACTTCATCGTCCGCCCAGTTTTTCAGACCGCCTGATAGTCCTTCACGTAGCCGCAAGGTCTTCAAGGCTCCAGAATACGAGCCAGATAAAAATATTTTCAAAAGGAAAGGACGGTGTGTTGTAATGTAGAAAATGCAACGGTATTTCTACCAAAATACTACATTGCAATATTGTTAAATTAATCAACGATCAAGTTCAGCTCCATAAATAGTACCGTAGTATTTTTGAAGCCGACAATTTACGGTTGTGAATTAAACAATGGTAAAATTGACCGGCGCTCATGGTCATAACTTCTATAAAATTGTATCAAAGTACATTTTACCATCAAAATATTTTAAATGACTCACGGCTCGCCCATTATTACGAAACTAAAATGTTCAGCAAGTCATTATAGCACATACCGGTAACGTTCTTCCTCTGCACTAGCCGACTCTATCTGAACTGAAAAGTTTGACAGAGAGTTTTGGACAAATTTTATAGACTCACGGGGGAATTCATCGTTATTTTGTTTCGGGTGATTCTGAGTGAGGATTTGATAAAAAAAATACCAGCCTTGCTTAGCTTTGAATGAAAAAAACATGAAAAACGTCGTTGACTAGACAAGGCATAGACCAATGTTACATTTTAATGAGAACGCGCCGATTGAAGTAGTTTCTGCTAGGTATATTTAAAAAGTCTTGTAATTCTCTTGTGATTGAAACTGTGACATGGCAATGCTTAAATAATTCTGTAGGGTGAGGTCAAAGTGGTTGAAAATTTACCTTCCAAGTATGTACATAAGAGCATTGATTATTAATTAAAAGTTTATTCATGATTATACTAATATACTATGTCAGTTTTAAGCTGTTTTTCAATAAATGATTGCATAAAGATTTTATTTTATTCAGAGCCATTTGGTAAACACTTTGTTACAAAACTAGTATATACATAGTTTCATATATTTGATCAAAATGTCAAATACTTACTATGATAAAGCTGCTCATAACTAACTTAAAAACTGTGTTATTATTGATATATAGAACATAAATTAGAGACAAAATGGTAATGAATGAAATCAAAACCTAAATAAATGATATAAATACATGTTATAAAATCCATTAAATTTACAAATAATCATATTAATAAATGTAAAGTAGCTGCAGAAGTGCCTATGCAATAAGAGTGCTAGAAAAGAAAAATTTTATTACAGTTAGGTGACTGACACTTAGGGATGTTTAACAGGGTTATAAGGGATGGTTTTGAGCATTTTTCTTTAATAACTTCTTACCATGAAGCATTTCATAAACAAATTTGGGCTTATTTTTATAGCTCTTTGCCAGGGCTATTGAATGAGATCTCCAAAAAAATTCCATATGCTATTCGTCAGGTGCCAAATGCAAAATAAAAGCATCCCGAATTACCCCTGGGAATGGGGTAATCTGGGACACTTGAAAGAAATAAAACTCAATTTTAAAACGTTTGAAGCATGCAAAGTGTACTCATCCATTACTAACAGTACTACTCTGAAGTCCTTCTCTTCTTTTGTAGATGATGTAGATGTAGAATAAATGACATTTTCTGTGATTTTTGCTTGTTTATCCTTTATTGATACAATATTACCATATCCATACATTGTCGTATTATTGATGTGATATAACCGTATACATGGACAGGCCATTATGCATTTACAATGACCTTGTTCACTGCAAGCTTCATATCAGCAGCCATGTAGCATTTCTTCTGTATCTGTAAGCTTACAGGACGGCTTGTAATTTCACATCATTTAATTTGGTCAAGTAAATTCACTATAACAAAAAAAGATCATAAAAACAAACCTGAAACAGAAAGGAATATTTTAGTGACAACCATCATATATTATTTGGAGAAATAAATCATAGTTTAGGTTAATTACTTTTCATTCTATGTTGCCCGGTGCACAATTCTATCTATGACATTCTATGTACACTTTTATGACGACCGATGATGCATTAATTTTTAGTTGAGTGAAATTTCTTTCGCTGAGTGAGGTAAATGCTGTCTCTTATACACATCTAGATGTGTATAAGAGACAGACNATAAATCTGTCTCTTATACACATCTAGATGTGTATAAGAGACAGCTACGTGTGATCGGTATTATTGAAAAAAATCGGTTTTCCGATGCCGACCGCCAAAAATGGATTTCAGATTCGTAATCTACACCCCAAAAAACATATAATTAAAAAAAAAAAAACACCCTTTTTTTTGGATGTAGTTAATCTGCAATAATACCGGAAAATTCCTATGCTGGGCTGCAAAGACAGAAAAAAAGAAAACTTGATTGCGTCTACAAAAATTTATGTCCATAAAAGTAAAAAGAATCCATATACCTAGATCATATATTACAATTAAAGTTTGTAACTCACAATTGACCCTCAAATGGCTTGAGAAGGTTGATAACATCAGATACAGCTGGCTTGTCTTGCTCAGCCACACTTGGGTCTATCTGACAGTCAGCCTTGACTTGAGGAGCGTTGATGAGTAAACTTATGCACAATAATATTTGAACTGCTACTAGCGTCATTGTTGAATTTACAGAAAAAACTTCTTCATAAAATGGTAGTATACTGTTAAACTACGTAGGTATGAAAGAAGCGAACGAATATTTAAATTAACTAAATGAAACCAGGCTGGTAAGTGGTAAACATGAGGCTGCTAGATGAACAGGACAAGTGGCCAATGAACAGCTGTTAAAGGCTACAGCACAAATAACTTGACCGTTTCCGTATGAACGGAAAAAAAAATTATTTCCGCCCATTTCGAATTAAGGGTTGATAAGTCGGAAGAGATGTGGCGCATAAATTAATTTATTAGCAACTAATAATAAGTATACTGCAATTTCCTGGCAATTTTGATTCTATATACACTTCTGGACAGTGTTTCATCTGTAAAAAATTCGTAATCACCTGAATTGTTAATATCGGTTACTTGAGGAAACTCTTGCATTGTTGCATAAGGGGGCTGCAGTTGTGTCGGTTACTTGAGGTAACTCATGTGTTGTTGCATCAGATAGCTGCAGTTGTGTCGGTTACTTGAGGTAACTCATGTGTTGTTGCATCAGAGAGCTGCAGTTGTGTCGGTTACTTGAGGTAACTCTTGTGTTGTTGCATCAGGGGGGCTGTAATTGGGTCGGTTACTTGAGGTAACTCTTGTGTTGTTGCATCAGGGGGGCTGTAATTGTGTCGGTTACTTGAGGTAACTCTTGTGTTGTTGCATCAGAGAGCTGCAGTTGTGTTGGTTACTTGAGGTAACTAATGTGTTGTTGCATCGGCAGATTTTTCTGCTCGGGTAACTTCAGGTATTCAAGGTATATGTGCTTCGAGTTGCTTCTTTTTACTTCTAAGAGCTCAATTTCGTATATGCAGCCAAAGAAGTTAGTAATAGTAACTACTGGGATGCTTCCGGCAAGAAGAAAGAATACGTCTAAACGTACCAGGGAGTGACAGCCAGTTTGAGATTCCAGAATTCGTCTCAAAGTAAACCGGTTTTCGAGCAAATGTACAACAAAATTTGAAACTGAATTTGGTTGATAACATTTAAATGAGAGTTTTTAAATTTTACTTCACTAAGCGAAACTATGACTCGATTGCGGAGATGCTGCAATCCCTTTCTAACATTGTCTTCCCTGCTATCACAATAACTTGTAAGCTTCAGACAGAGGTGGGCAGTAGCGCGCTACATGTAGCGGTAGCGGTAGCGCCCGCTACATATTTAAGTAGGTATACGAGGTTTTGCCGCTACAGCGCTACCGCTACATTTATAGATAAAGCCTTTAGATTTTACTTAATAGTATTAAATATTATCTAAAAACCAGCATGATACATATATAATATAAATTACAGAATAAAACTGTACGAAAGATTTCGGTGTAATGTTGTCAACCTCAGCCTGTTACTAGTGTCAACATGTTAGTTGTTACCAGAGGTGAGCAGTGGCGCGCTACATGTTGCGGCCGCTACATTTAAGCATTTGTAGCGGTAGCGGTAGCGCCCGCTACATTTAGACTTTAGAGCATGTAGCGGTAGCGGTAGCGGCCGCTACATTTATTAAAGAGCAACTGTCAATATCCCATTTTGCATTTAAATGAAATTGCAATTTTTAATTCTATCCTTCTTGGAACTCCGGTGTTGTTCGGGATGCATGGATATAGCAGGGATTTTGGAAGCTGTACATCACTTGATGTTCCCAGTCGTCATAAATTATCTTGTAACTAAGTAATGATGATTAAGAACAGACCGGTTCACAGTTTCATTTAAAAATTTACTCACATTCATACAATTTATGGGTTCCTGACGATTTTTTCCCGCAATACATTTAATTTATTAGAAATTATCTTTAAGCTTTTTAGTCAACCTCTGTTCCGCGATACTTGATTTAATTATACAAATTAATATTGCGACACCGGATATTATGGGATATTGAGCATCCATAAATACGCGCTCAAATAGCCCGTTCATATTGCCGGGGCCAGGTTCCAAGGTTTCCTTAATTAACTTTAACCCCGCCTGAAATTAATTATTCATTTGCAGAATCCTAATTTTAATACACCCCCGAGCAAAGCTGCGATACTCTGTTTGGATATCAAAATAAACGCCTTCATTTCATGTTTCGATTTCCATTGTTAGCATGATAAAATATTTTTTTACACAAGCGATCGAAATTTTAGCGACAAACTTGGGGTCATTTTTCGACTTACGTCCTTCTTCAATTCGTGTGTTTTCACTGAGAAGACAATGACATCAAACTTTGACTGATCTTTGACTCATCGGCCGAGTCGACCAGTTAATTAGACTAAAAACTAAACCGGAGCTTAGGTAGATCGGCTATACCAGAGACTAGACCAGAGCTTCAGTAGACCGGTTATACCAGAGACTAGACCAGAGCTTCAGTAGACCGGCTATACTATAGCCTATAGGCTAGACCGGACCTTACATAACATAACATAACATAACATAGTGATGTCGGCTCTGAAGTGTAGGCCTGATGTGGCCTGTAGCCTGAGCGCAGTCAAGGCATCATCATCACCACCACAGTTCGCTGTGAACGCTGCAGGTACAAAAGTCTGGTTCTGATGGACTTTGTGGTCACGCTAAACTGGCGCGCGTAATTAAGATATTAGCTTCTATTGTGGACAAGATTAACACGCTTCTAGACGCTCTCCACAGCTCGATAGGCTGCGTGCTCACGGAGGCCCTGTGTGACGTCACGAGCTGATGAAGGTGCTGCTAAACTCAGCTCTGTATTACGGACATAACTGTTGTATTTGAAATAATTTAAAGCTTAATATGATCCGTATGGCTTGATGGGCTGTGCGTTGCATGGTAGTCTACGTAGTATAAAATGCTAATAAAAATCCTGTTTTATTTGTATTGATAACGACGAATAGAAGTAAGTTTTTTATGCATTTAATTGATTGCAAAACGAGAATGCCTGCGTCTTTCATTAAATAAAGAAAGAATCTTGATTTATCTTCTTGTAATCTATAATGCCATGTTCAAATTAAATGGCTGCCGACTGTTAATCGCCCAGAAGCTGTCCAGGTCTTCAATGGCAGTCTGTCATCATAGCTTCACCACGTGATGTTTATTTCGCTCTATGAGATGATGAGTAGCGTTAACTTTGAATATAGCGGCCAGCGTTGTATATTTAGACTTATAAATGAACCAAAAATTTTAAAGCAAGTACAAATTAGGCGAAAAATCGCAGCATCTTTATTGAAAATGTTTCAGAGATCAGCTAAATTGTCCGTTCGGAAATTCCAGAATGCAACTTCAATAAATTAGCACGGTCGAAATTCGCTGGACTGATGCTAAAACCTACAGTTGAAGTCATGCCAGCTAGTTTCGTGGCTTGAACGCTGGATTAGAGGCAGAAATGGGTCGAGGGATGTAGAAGGGGTTGTTAATGGTTAGGATATAGTAATTAAATATGTGCTGCATCTATTAAACTGGCTAAGAGTTAGTTTTTTTTTAAGTAGATAAGAAATAATATTTCTGGCGCTTAAAAATCAGCAGAAAAATGAAAGGTAGAACTGAAGTAAAAAAATAATCCTTACCATTGATCAAGGAATATTTCAGAAGGGGTTTTGTACAAAGTTTTTTACTATGTAAACATAGGATAAAAAATGTTTGAATTGAGAAAAAATTAGTCAAGCAATACAAATTCTTTTTTATAAGTTTAGAATTTGTACAGAAATTCGATTCAGGAAATGTTTATTTTTTTTTAAATGGATCTATTCCGTTATTTATACTAATATTTCAGATTTTCTTTGCATGTTTCTTCATGAATTCATAAAAAAATAAGAAAAATCAATTGAATGAGTGATTTGAATGATACAATGAGCGCTTTGCTGCGTGCCTAGATAGCTCAGTTGGGAGAGCGTTAGACTGAAGATCTAAAGGTCCCCGGTTCGATCCCGGGTCTGGGCATAAACTTTTTACAGAGCCGGCTAGCCGCACTGCTGATCAGGGGCCATATTTTCAAAACTCGCTAAGCGAACGTAAGTACTTACGCTCTATTTTCTTGTCTATGATTGGTGGACTTTGCTTGAAATGCCGTCAATGATTGGCAGATGAACTTACGATCTCTTAACTTTTTTGGAAAGTATAGGCCCTGTATATTAAACTCGTATGAATGAATATTAAACGCATGCCTGAATTTATACTTGAAGTAAATAACATTTATATCATTTGAAAGTGTTTCTGAGGTAGTAATTACCACAGGCCAAACGGGAGCACTGCCATAGCTTTAAAATAACTGCAACATTAACGTAGAATGTATAAAATGGTACTACAACATTTTTTACATATATCCTGCTGAAAGTAGATTGTTGGTGAGAAACGATATACGTGCATTCAAATATTATTCCACGTGGTGCATAATTGATAACCAGCTTTATCAATCGACGGGCGCGAAATTTTACGCATAAATATCTCTACTTTCTCCGACCCTTGACCCGAGATTTGTCAAAACTTTGTCCAAAGTTATCCGGAGATTAGTTTGAACTTTAATTGAATTTTATTCAAAATTGTACTCAATTTGTCGGAAACTTTTCAACCTCTATCCAAATTTGTTTTGTTATCTTATGATTTGTTTTGGATCAGAAATCACAGGCATTGTCTTCTTTTACTACAGCAAAATGTATTTTGAAAAGCATTGTCCAGCTTGAATCGAAAGGTGGTGAGTTAAATGCAGTGGTGGCTAATAATGTGGCACATAATATCTTTGCCGATGAGCTATCAAGCAAGTTAGTTGCAGTCCAAGAAATGCGAACCAATCTATTTTTGCATTTTCTTTGTATTGAGGCAAACAATAATTATATTTGTATTGTATTTTCTTTGTATGGAAGCTTAACCTACGGCTTTGGTTAACCTGCCACTCCTGGAAAACTTGATTCTTAAAACACGTAACACGTGCAATTTTGCAACACGTCATTTTTTGCAACACGTTTATGCAATTTTGTTTCTAAACTTCATGTTCATTTGTACCTCAAGAGCAGCTAGAACCTGTTAGTAAATATGCAAAACTTTTTATCTACGAATGAAATTCGTGGTAAAAATTTGGTACATAATTTTGATAAAAAACTGCATTAATGGTGACAATACTTCGAAAATATTGACTAAGGTGAGTTTCAGCGCAATGAAGTGGTAGGAAAGTTGACATTTTTAAAAGTATTGAGAAAATTCGGAATGATTGTACATATTCATGGGAACAGGCAAAAAATAACATTTACATTCATTTAGTGAACGCTCGCTGCGATGTAGGAACTCTCAACGTTTATTTTCCTTTACAAATGAATGAAGGAATTAATTTCTGAATAGGTAATCACCAACACATCAAACACACACGTCACCTCGTCACATCACACCAACACATGAAACACACACGTCACCTCGTCACATCACACCAACACATCAAACACACACGTCACCTCGTTACATCACACCAACACATCAAACACACACGTCACCTCGTCACATCACACAACACATCAAACACACAAGCCACCTCGTCACATCACACAACACATCAAACGCACAAGCCACCCCGTCACATCACACAACACATCACGTCTATTAACAGTTGCAGTCTATGCGGAACATTCAACACTCAGAAAAATACATGGGGTGACTTGAAAAGCATTGAGTGTCAGTTTGTACAAAATGTTAAAACATTTTTTTTAACACGCTTCAAACGTGTTCCCTTCTAGAAATACTGTCTAAGCAGGTTTCAGTGCAAACAACACTTTCAAAACATATTTCAATGCATAAAAAAATGTTGTTAACATGTTTCAGGACGGATAAACCTGTTATCAACATGCATCAATGCAAAAAACACGTTTTCATCATGTTTAAGTAAAAAACACGTTTTCGACATTTTCAGTCCGAAAATCGCGTTCTCGATGTCGAAAAAAAGCATTATAAACATGTTTCATTAAATAAAACACGTCCCCAGCATGTTACAATCAATAAAACACGTCCCCAGCATGTTACAGTCAATAAAACACGTCCCCAGCATGTTACAGTCAATAAAACACGTCCCCAGCATGTTACAGTCATTAAAACACGTCCCGAGCATCCCCGGTATATTTCAATTCGAAAGACTTGTTCTCTACATTTTCAGCCAACGTACAGTATTTGGTCGTACGACACAAGTCATCTGCTTACTCAGTATGCAATCATGCTGTTTACGCACACTGTATATACGCACGTAAACTATACGCATACATCGTACTCAATTACGCTGTACACACGCAATGTACATACTCACAGTACACACGCTCTTTACATACGCACTGTATACACGTACTGTGCACACATTGAAACTCTATGCATAATAGCGCTCTGTACACTCGCTATGTACAAACGAACGAACTGTACATACGTGCACAATACGAAGGCTACAGCAACGCTGCCGCGCACCTGCGGCAGTTTGGAGAAGTGCCAGATGGTTTTTTGCAGTGATCAGCTACTGCTCTGTCCCTGCTCTGTCCCTGCTCTGTCGCTGCTCTGTCCCTGCTCTGTCCCTGCTCTGTCCCTGCTCTGTCCCTGCTCTGTCCCTTGCTCTGTCCCTGCGCTGTCTCTTATACACATCTAGATGTGTATAAGAGACAGCAATAATTANTTATGTTTTGTTCCGTTAAGTTATGTTATGTTATGTCTGTCTCTTATACACATCTAGATGTGTATAAGAGACAGCAATGCAGCTTTGAAAACAGTCCCTTGAGCTTTTTTCAACTTATGGGCGTTTGAAAAAAATATAAGTTGTGTGTCGGATGTGTCAAAAAATTTGAGTTGTATGTTTTCAATGTTAAGCACATGCATTTAAATTCAAAAGTTCGATTACTAATGGAATGCATATGCCGTCAGAGATGTTTAGTGCAATGAAAATATATTAAGTTGAGTATGATCGTTTGAAAAATAAGTGATGTGTTGGTGTTACCCAATTAATATTTGGGGGCAGCGAGGATAGCACTATGTGTAGCGGCAAGTGACGGGAAAGAAAATATTCAAGCCAGAAAAAAAACAAGGCGACGGGAAATTAGCAAGGTAAATTATAAATGATTATGAAAGGTTAGGTCAATAGTGTAATAGTTCGACGGCACCTTTTTGAGATAGATTTATTTGAGTAAAAATTTTTCATAGCAGGACATTAATTTTGAAAAAGTAAATCGCACCCTCTGCACGCCTGTCTCTTATACACATCTAGATGTGTATAAGAGACAGATTTAATATATAATAATAATAAAATAATAATAAACTTTGTACTGAGTTTCAAGTTGTTTGCTTTTAATGCAGGCTCCTTAGTTACAAAAATGCCACGAAGATTTTAGACGACTGTCCAGAATCTCAGATAAAAAAGAATCTTAAATTAATTTTCATCGCAGAAGTAAACTCCTAACATTGAGCTCTTCTGCGTGGACTACACAAGTCGCTCTGATAATCCCAACGATAAAAACAATAAGATGTTCGTTTATGTTTGTATTCTTGGCAAAACGCACCCTCACATGACCCCGGCATCCCCTCACTATACCCTCACATCCCCTCATTCTCGCTCACTGTCCTCTCACATTCCATCACTTTCCTCTCACATCCCCTCACTCTCCCCTCACGTCCCCTCACTTTCGCTCACTCTCTTCTCACATTCCCTCACTTTCCTCTCACATTTCCTCACTCGCCCCTCACATCCACTCACTCTCCCCTCACATTCCCTCACATCCTCTTACTTCCCTTCCCACTACCCCAACCTCCCTTCCCACTATCCCATCCCTTTCCTCTCCCCTCACCCCCGTGTCCGCGAGGGCACCGCGCGTCGCCCTCACGTCAGTGTCGCTGCCAAGTCCTGCTGTGGTGCAGGTGGTGACTGGCGTGGTGCTGCCCTCGAGTGTGATGAACACGTGTGGTGAACACGTGTGGTGAACACGTGTGGTGAACACGTGTGGTGAACACGTGTGGTGAACACGTGTGATGAACACGTGTGGTGAACACGTGTGATGAACATGACACGTGTGATGAACATGACACGTGTGATGAACATGATAGGTGTAATAAACATGATACTCGTAATTAACATGTCAAGTACACAATCATGACAAGAAAAATATTCGTGAGTCGTGACAAGTATGAAGAAGAAGTACGCGCGTCAAAACATACAATCAACAAGTGATACTTTTGCAAGTGACGGTAAAAACATTAAATTTTACAGAAAAAGTGTTCAGTGGAAAGGTAATAAAGCACAGTCCTGTCCATTCTGCATGTTTTAAAGCATGTTCATGTAAGTCTTTAAAACATTTGCAGACAACATTATTTAGAGTGCTTAAGATGTGTGGCCAGATGACACTGAAATAAGAGTACGTATGGGCTTCATGTACACCAAATGTTTTGATGTGGCATCAAATTAGGTTCATGCAACCATGAACCATTAATTACTGAACAATTAATTGATGTGAACCATTAACTAAAAATACATGGAGGGCCCTGAAACCATTAATTAATTAGGTTCACGTAACGTAATCACGTTCACGTAACTGTGCTCTATGGATACGTGCCAATTACATAGAGGCACGTGACGGTGACGTGGCATTGAAATTGGGAAATATAACTTTAAATATATAGATGAGCTATTGAAATTTGGTAAGCGTTCTTACTTCTAGTCACTTGAAAGTACGAAAAGAAAATTTACTCCATTACTTTGCTTCTCTAGAACAAAGGTGTCGGTTGTATTTATTAAATTATATCATGGAAATCCTAGCTGTTGATGAAACTCATCGCCGAAGCACTTTCAATATTTATTTAAATGGGGAACTTTCACGCACTTAAGGCATTTTCCAAGCTTGCTTTTCAATTCTTGATCGATCCTCTTGTTCTTACCTTTCCTATTGACCGTGAATTTTAGCTCAAGCCTAAATTCTGATTTCATTTCCAGTGCCGAAAATAATCATTTTAAACTTAGGAGCGACTGTGACCATTTTCTCATATGGAAAACAAGGGAGATTGTGGATACTTTTTAAGTTCGAAAATAGTGCGATATATCTGAGCATTTTGCAGTTCGGAAACAGGATGATTGTGAATATTTGCTATTTTTGAAAGCTTGTTTGATGAATTAATTAATTCATGAACTGGTGAATTGATGGATGGAATGGAGGCCGCTTCATCGCCGCCCATCGCACCTTCGCGGTGAGTATAATTGATCCACGGAATTGTTTCCGTGAAGTTCTTTATAGTTTCAGACTGCAGGAAAAAATATTATGATTAATAGTATTAAGAAAAAATTTCAAGAAATAAAATTTTTGAATTTTGAAATACAATTTTTTTGCATATAAAATGCCTCTTTGACCACTTAATTAATGCAAATCTCTATTTTTAAGCACTTACTTTAGGCAAATTGCGGAATAAAATTCTGGAAATTTGTTATTGTTGTATATATTAAAAATTAAATATATTGTATCAATATTATATTAATTATATTTATACATATAAATATATAAATTGGTGTAGTTCGGCAGAAGCTTCTCTTTTATGCAAGTTCGATTGAAGACCAGAGCATGCTTTTTATTAACAATCTTCTTGTTCGTCTTTTCAATGAGTCGAACCAAATTTCTTGCTGGAGCCGGGAGATCGAAAAGCAGGCTTCCGAATGATATTTTAATAGATTGCGACGTTTCGAAAATACAATTTTCATTATCAAGCTGGTGAAGGTTTTACAACAATAAAAAAACATGCTCTGGTCTTCAATCAAACTTGCATAAAATATATAAATACATATTGTTTATTTTAAATATATTATTGAAATATACATTGTTATATATATTATTGTTGCAGATCTCGGTCCTCGTCACGGCAACGGCCGCCGTCACCCAGTGGTGAGTCATCGTCGGCATGCGCGATGCTTAGCAACTGAATTATTTTAATTTAATCATTAATTATTTTAATTTCCACGTGCTTGGAAATTTAAATTTACTTTCGATCAAATAAATTTGAACTTTTTCCAATTATTTAAATTTCCACGAACACGTCTGAACTCACGTACTGCAAGATGCGCTCGCGCACACGGTGCACGTTGTCAGGGTGCGGCAATGTGTGCACGTCATGCAAATAAAGTTTAGAATTCAATAAAAGATTAAAGAAAATCAAATAAAAAATTATCTATCTCATTGTATTCAGTTTCACCATCATTGTGAGGCCAACGAAGCTATTTAGTCTAACCAAAAGGACACATGAAATGTTCAATATATTTTAGCCAATTATTATTTGTAATTTTACGTCCGCTAAAGTATTTTCCAAAAAATATGCAGAAAACTCAAACCTTCTGGCAATTGTTATATTTCAGTTATCCCTACATTTCAACATCAACATTTTTTATGACAGATAATCCATGATTATAAAGTAACAATTTGATATTAAAAGATATTAATTATAGTATTGTTGCCCCCCATTTCGTGATAGAAAATCTACGGAAACAATTGCCATTGCTAAGCCTCTAAGTGACGAAAAGCTGGCTACCAAATTTTATGGAATACCAAAGACATTGAAATCTACGGAGATTGCTACTAGGATTTAAGTAACTATTACATATGCTAGATATAATTCTCTACAAATTAAATGAATGTTAAAATTTTAAAGGTTAATCCACATTAATTTTGATGTTTATTCAACAACATGTCGCATGCGTGAGGTGCGTGCGAGCCCTTTACGCATTATACTCAGGTGGTTGGTTGGATTTAAGTTTACATTATTAATCATTACTTACTTAAAAATGATCATAAATTTTAGGGGGATCAGCCTCCCTGTCCTTGAAACCAAGTGACACTTCTGTTATCAATATTTGATCAACCAGATCCATTTATTTTTCTGTGTGCATCTACGAGTAAAAATAGAAACATTTTAATATCATGACAAATTCCATTGTCAAAATGTCCACTGGATGTTCGAGTGCTTCAAGCTAACTCACTAGATTTTCAGAACAGCACCACGATGTAATTAATTTAGAGTGTATGCAACGAAATAAATATAAGATCTGTCATCATTAATCTTTAGTTTTTTTAGAGAAACATGATGACTTTTGTGGAGTTTTCCTTGTTTTAAAATTTCCAGATCTCCCTAATGTCAGGTTTATGAATGACTGGTCCAATTTGTAGTCGCATGTGTAAACCTAGTAACGTTCACGGAAGATGGAACAACTTCGGTCATAATTTATTATGACTGCAGTCGCTGCTGTGTCAAGCCTACAGTTGGTCTTAGACTCCGTGGCGAGAGGTTGTGCGTCTCTCTGACGTCCCAACGTAAACACAGAATATAAATTTATTATTAAAACTTAATGGAAGCCTGTAGAAACGACATATAATCACAATTTTCAATGAATCTTTATGAAGACATGAACGAATAAATTCGCCACTCTTATCTTGATGCAAAAAAATTAAGAAAAAAATTGAAAAAATTAAAAATAGATTCTGAAAATTTTTCATGGTTTCTTCAAGAGAGTTGGACTTAGCCTGTACCTAAAACTGACTGGCATTTTAATGTGTCGATTGACATCTTACAAATAAATTCATCGAGTGGTTAAATCGTGAGTTGTTATATTACTTATTTGCCTTCAATGTTGTTATGTTGCTCATCTGTTGTTGTAACTACTGGGTTTTTATAACCACTATTCAGCTACCGCGAACACTTGATTGATTGAATGGTAAATAATTTCCCCAAAATTTTAATACAAAGAAAATGGCACAAAAATTCACCATATCTAAATAAAAATGTAACTTGTCGTAGTCCAGCTCCTTCGCCAGTTCGACAGCTCAAGAATGTAGGTACAGTCAATTAGTAATCTGTAATTCAAACGTTTTCTTTTATCAAATATGATGAATTCTAGGGTCATTCTCGGTGTTTTTTTCCTTTTTGCAATATTCAGCTGTGGAAGTAATTACATTTTGCAATGGTCATCTATGGTGGTAATTACTATGTTATTATAACCACTATTCAGCTCAGATGTTAACCATTTGACCATTTCTAACTGCCACTTATCAGCCGTAAAGTAATTATGAGTAATTATGGTAACTACTTAGCAATGGTACTACTTAGAAATTATGGTACTACTTGGCTGTAATGGTAGTAGTTATGGCGGTGACCACACCGTCCGTAGTGGTGGTGTAGCCTGTGGTATCTGCAGTACCATGTTGAAGGTCGCGGGTTTTGTTGCACTTAAAGAACGTCTATTGTTGGACACAAAAATACGGTCGACTCAGATCGAACTTAATTGGTCGAACGGTTAAAATTAGTCGGGGGTGATAAGGCTAAGTTATGCTTGGCGGAGTGAGGCTAGGTTGAGTTTTGTTAGTTGAGGTTTTGTTTTTCCTGGAGAAGTTCGGTAAGGATCAGTTTTTCGTTGTTAGTGTTAGCTAGGTTTTGTTTACTTTGGTTAGGCTGGGTACTAAAATATACATTCTATGGCTTCAAAATATTGCTTGCTAATACCTTTTTTACACATTGTTCAAAATTTTATTATGTCAGGAAGACTCTAGAGATTTTCCCCCACATTGAACGTACGAATACCGAGAACTATTCACCGCTGCAATGGTTAATTAGTGAGTAAACGGGCAGAATTTCTTCAATTTTCGGTGTTACTCATGGACGCAAACATGAGCACCTTATAACCTCCATGACTCTAGGTGATGACTGCGTGATAATGTTTTCAACGTTATTAGGTAATATCGATGCTATTGCTAAGAGCCGCTGTGGACCAAACTGTATGTGATGAATGTGACCGTATAGTTTTAAGTAGGTAATATTGATGTTATTGCTGCCAATAATATTGATATTGACCACCTACTAAAGGCCGAGCAGCTACTTTTATGCATTGCTTATTGATCGATGCAGACCGAGATAAGTCTTCGAGATCAATGATAACGCATCCAACTAAACTGCATCATCATCAGGTCTTCATAAATGACATCATGACTTTGCCTTACTACTACAAGCGCTTCATAACTTTAGGTTCTTCATTAATTCAATGTCTTTATAAACTTAAAGCTCTTCATAACCTGCCGTTCCTAACAAGGTGAACCATCTCATTAGTTGTAGTTCTGCATAATTTGTTGCTCCTAATGAGACAAACATCTCATTAGTTGCTGCTCCTCATAACGAGCAACTCCTAATAAGGTGGAGCATCTCATTAGTTGTAGCTCCGCATAACGAGTAACTCCTAATAAGGTGGAGAATCTCATTAGTTGCTGCTCCTTATACCAGCAGCTCCTAATAAGGTGGAGCATCTCATTAGTTGCTGCTCCTCTTAACCAGCAGCTCCTAATAAGGTGCAGCATCTCATTAGTTTTTGCTCCTCATAACCATTAACTCCTAATTAGATGTAGCATCTCATTAGTTGTGGCAGCTCCCGCTTGTCGATAACAATCTCTCGCGCTTTTCTCAGCTTCCTTGTATAGCAAGAATTAAACTTTTAAGTTTCTTCTAAATTTAATCGCCCATGATTTAATTTTCTCAAATTTAAATTTGTCTGCACGATTCTGTTATTCGAATTTACTGTGCCTAGTTGCAAACTACGACATATTTAATGCTACGGCATTCAAAGTACGACATGATGCATATGACGACGCTGCATGTCTCGAAATATTGTCCATTGCGACATTTTATATTACGATAATGCATATCACATTATATTGCATGTTGACACTTGCAAATCACATTATATTGAATATAAACACTTGCGAATCCCATTTGCATATAGACACTTGCGAATCATATTTGCATATAGACACTTGCGAAGTACATAATATTGCATATTGACACTTGCATCTCGAATTACATTGTATCTTACAACATTTCTATTCAAGACTTATTTCATAAAACATTTACAACTCGATTTCTGTATTCAAAGGAAAGAATGATCGCACTCTCCAGTCATTATAATAACGCTCTTAATAAATTAAATTCTACATTTTCTGCTGTCATGTCCTGTATTTTAAGCTCAAGGCCGCCGCTGTTTATTGTTCGCTTCTCGTGTCAAGTTCGGCGCCTCGTCGTTGACGTTGCTACGTCACGTGACGTCTTATTGCGATAACGTCAAGTGACGCAGCGACGTCTGATGGAATTCTGCCACCCCGTGCAGCGCCTCCGAATTCATTAGGTCCCATGAATTCTGTGGCGCAATTCATGTGAAAATTTTTTATGATACTTTGTCGACCTGACAATTATATTAGAATTCTAAAAGCTTGCATATTAGAATGAGAATTCTAGAATTATAAAATAAATATTTTTCAATTTAATAATAAAAACTCGGCAGTGTTTTCTTGTGAGGTAAAATGGGTTGAAACTCAACCAGTTTAAATTTTGAAATTCAACCACTCCAGTTTTTTCTGATGATTTCATTCAAACGGATTCGTAACGTAAATTTAGCCAAAATATATTTTATCCATCAATAAATACATAATTCCTTCTGGCAATATTCATAATTCCTTCTGGCAATTTTTTGGAATTGAAATTATTCATAAATTGTATATATAGGCCCGTTATTTTTAGATGTTGTTTGATGGATGTTTGCTGAAGAAAAGAGCTGACCGTTGCAGTGCAAACACCCGGCCACCTGATATGCGTGCTAGTGACGTCACTGGCCTGCCTGGTGACGTCACTGGCCTGCGTGGTGACGTCAGTGACCTGCCTGGTGACGTCAGTAGCCTGCCTGGTGACGTACTGGTGACGTCACTGGCCTACCTGGTGACGTCACTGGCCTGCCTGGTGACGTCACTGGCCTGCCTGGTGACGTCACTGTCCTGCCTGGTGACGTCAGTAGCCTGCCCGATGACGTCACTGGCCTCGGCGTCGACCAATCAGCGGCGCGCTTTTCATCGGCGTAATA